TGACTTGTGGACATCAACTTCCTGAGGTAGCATTCTGGGAGTTGAAGTCCACAAGTCATAAAAGGGCCATCGTTCTTCACCCTTATACTACAGCAGTGTTTCTCAACCTTGGCAACTTGAAGATGTCTGGACTTCAACTCCCAGAATTCCCCAGCCAGCGAATGCCATGTTGCCATGGTTGAGAAACACTGCACTACAGTATTAGTCAATGGTAATAACTAGTGACTGACTCCAAACAAAATATATTTTTTAATGAAAGCCAGAGAGGGCTTCCTTTTCTTTTTAATGCCATGGGATTTATTTATTTATTAAACAGATTTATATAGCCGGGTGATGTACAACATAAAAAAATTCCACCGTTGAAAATCCACAGTTTAATGTACCCAAAACCCCACTCCCATCCCATGGTGGCAACAACACAATCAGAGATATTTAGAGATGAGATTAGAATGATCTTTGATCATCTCATTGACATAAAATTTGCATTTCCTTCTCTGTTCATGGTGTTAACGTACTCAGAAACCAACCATAAGAACTTAATTTCCACTAATTCAAGACATCTTTTAATAACAGGCCATATGTCTTTCTCAACATTTTACAGGAAATAACTATAAACTTCAAAGCATGGGTTTGTTTACTGTTTTACTTCAATTAATAAAAGTGAGGATATCTACGTGTGATCACTAATCACGACAGTGCTAATTGAATTTCTTTAATTTTCTCAGTCATACAAGTAGTGACCTGACCAAGAACAACTCTGAGGTAATATATATCAGTGGAGACCATGAATGGAAAGCAAACTGCAAAATGAATAATGAATGGATAACATTCCCTTTTTGGGAAGACCAAGAACATTGTGATTTGATGGAACTGATGAGATCCTCAAAAAAAAAAAAATGACAGCAAGAAATTTTAAACATACACCGCAGTGTATGAAATGATTTATGGAAAGGGTAGAAACACTTTGCAAAGACAGAAAAGTGGACTGAATGGTGTTGCTATAATCTAGATATGGCTACAGTTTCTGCACGTGTCATGTCTTTAACATTTTTTGCCTATTACTTTCTGGCTGCTTAACTCTCTGTGTGTGCGCGCGCGCACGCACACGCACACACGTTAGATTTATATCCCATCAAATCTAAAATCAATTCTAATGTATTCCATCCAGAAGAGCAATTAGATGTAAAAAGCTTCAGTCATCTTTGTGACCTTATTTTACATCTCTTGATATATTGAGTGGAACTCATAACTCAAGTGTTCAGTGGCATATCTAAATCTTAGTCCAACTCATTATGTGTATCATTATATAAATGATTATATTTCTTGATCAACTATTTGGAGTAATGCCAGCCATTCATGCATGATAACTGTTCCAATATTTAAATTTCTATAAACTCCACCCTTTCATTCATGATCAGAAATAAAGCACGGGAGGACTGCTGTTGTGTGGCAATCTGTAGACCTATTTATATAAATAAATATATGGGTGAAATAGAGCAGAATAAAAAAAACCCGAAACAATGCAAAACAATAAAGTTAAAATTCATCCAAGATGGACACCTAAACAATGACTTGGATTGCTTAGGTAGAAGGGCAATTTTGACTGCTTTTCAAAATGCTACGAGGAAAGGGTTGGGTGAAAGTTCCAAATGTGAAAATGCCCCCAAAGAAAAGATGCTTATGTTGTTTATGCCGCTTATTTTGAAATATGTGATCCATTGACCCGCAAACAAGATTGCTGGGCTGGAAAAAGGGAGCATTTGATGATCGGCATTTTCCTGGAATTGCTACTGAAATATAATCCTGTTATATCTCTCACTGTTATAATACTGGATATTAATTCCTTATTCTCTTGATCTCCCCTGATAATCTTTTAAGTTCTCAGTTTGGAGCATCCCAACAAGGATTTCTGGTACCTCTTCTCATCATAGCCACAGTCCAGCATTTCTCATACTCTTATGGGTCCCCTCGCAATTAGGGCTCATAGATTGAGGGTGGACTTTCTTGTATTCTCATGCTGATGGTGGGTTCCTAAAAAGGATGAAAATATTGTTCCCAATTGTTCTCCATAATCAATCAATCATAGCAGAAGAAATAGAGAATTATGGTCAGAACAGATCTGCAATGACTTCTCTACAGAACTTCAAAACAGAACTTTTATATGGCAACAGGTTTTAGATGGAGCAGAAAGCAGTGGCTCCACCTGGGATACCATAGGCTTGCCGAGTGCCAACCCAATGAAAGTGATGAACATTTCTGTTCTTCTTAGCTTTTTCCTGGTCAAGGCCCAAACAGCAAATGACAAGAAATGAGATACATGGTAATGCAGTGATTAGAATGCAGTACTGCAGGCTAATTCTGATGACTGCCAGGCAGGGCCGGATTTAGATGAAAAGGGCCGGATTT